ACTTTCGGCCTGACTATCGTTTTTCTCTTCTAATATTTCATCTTTATCACGTTCGACCTTTACTTCTTCATCGTCCGGTAACAGTTCAAGCTGTTCTTGTTGGGGCTCAGCAGCATTTTCTGTAAATGTAACCTTCGTTTGAGGAAGTAATTGGGGTCTAAGCCGGTTAAGGTAGGATAGTTGAGCGTTTTTATGTTTAATAGTATTATTCTGAAGAACACGTGCAGCATGGGGTTGCTCTTTAACATATAAGTGTTTCGGATTTAGAATGAATTCTTCAGCAGTGATGATTAAGCAGTGGTACATTTCCATTGACTACATTGAGCAAACATTCACAAATCAGTGTTATGATCTCGCGATTTGAAGTTTTTCTAATTAATCGTCTTAATTGGTCAAGTGTGAGTTGTACCATATGCCGCAGAATAGATACGTTTTTCTTTTTCATTTGTGATTGGAGTAGTTTCTGCTTTAGATAAGGGTAAAAAAACAGTTGGCCCAGGCCGTATGATATTTGAACAATATCTCAAACAATCTGATGTGCGGGGGTTCAAGTCGATTAGAAGATGTCCAAAGGAGTCTCGGGTAGCTAATTCGTAACAACTTCTCAAAAATTTTGATTCATTCAATTGTCTTCCTAAAAGATCTAGTTGCTGAACGTCACGAGGCGATTTGAACAGAATGATGTGTGAAGTATTCAAATCAATCGTACGCGACCATCGACTTTGTTGAAACAAGTTATGCTTAACATATTTACATCTATCCTTCTATGTCTAACCGCTGTCGCTAATCTAACAAATTACTTGTCATTATAGATATCTTCACATAAATAATCGAAAACTAGAAGAACATTTTCTAAATTTCTTAAAGATTCGAATCCGTTGAATTTCATGAACTTCACATTTACTTCGTGAGAAGACACTTTTTTTGAGAATGCAGGTTGTATCTCTTAGTAAAGATATTGAAAGGTTCCAAATTTAGGATAAAAACCATTTCCCATCAAAACCTTGAAAATTAACTCAGTTTTTCCGGATCCTGAGGGTCCCACTATCGCCAAGAAAGCTCTTGTCGAAGTATCAATAACTTTATTCATAACCTCGGATTTGGTAACACAAAACCAACCAAGCCGGATAAAATTGAAAAGCAAACGGAAGTTTCTTTGCAACTTAGTTTAGTGACAGAAAATTTGAGAATGCAGCAAGTTAATAAAATTAGAATTACTACCATTTGCGCAACAAAAACTACTTCAGACCTTGGCAAACATTGTTACAGAACTTCCATTATTTTTTTTCACTGTTTGTCTTGTTATAAGCAAACTCTTTTACTAATGTCGCGTCGGGGGGTTCATCTACTGCAGTTGCTGTTTCTGACATTTGAGATCAGATTTTTTCTACAGACTGTATTAGACTTTTTCTCACTGTAAATGAAGCTTGTAAAAAAAACAATTAAAATGAATTAGTATTATGAACAGTACAAAATTTCATAACGTGTGAAGTCTCTATCATCTATGTCATGCATTTCTAGAACAAGGTTTGCTGGGACATTTGCAGTTTTTTCATAGTACATTGTTTTCTTCACAGTATCCTTGTTCACTATCCTCTTAATCTCATCTGGCAATTCACTGCTGTTTAGATCCATCTGTTTGGGTACTAAGACTAGTTCGGGAAGAAATACTCCTCCTTTGATGGCTAACATTTCTGATAATTTTCAATCTCTGGAAGTATACAGATTGATCAATAACTGGAAAAAATCTTTTTAAGGTAGACAACCCTTCTTCGGAAATTATTATTTGCTCCTTCTTCTGAACAATAAGACCAATGCAATCAATACGCTCTATTCTTGTTAATGAAATTTTAATATCAACCTCTGGGGTCATCCACGCACAAAGCATTGAATTTGGTGATAGGTATGTCTCCACTTTCGCTGATCTCTCGCTGTTGTTCTCGCTGTTTTTCAACCAATCATAAAAAACCTTGATTTTCTTTAGAGCACAATGATTTCTGGAGTTATAATGAGGTATATGTCTGTTGCAACTTATATAGTTTTTGAAAAATAAGTTTTCAACCTGAGGTCAGTCCAAATCATCTAGGTTTTCATTCTTTCGGTCCAAAAACTTGGCCAAAAATTCGGTCTTTTCTTTTCTTTTAGCGTAAAAACGGCACCGGGATTTCTTAACACAAAACTCTGAAGTATTTGATTCAAGTTTATGTAAAGGTAATCACCGTTTTCCCAATGGAGACCGTGTAAATAATTTGTTAACCAGTTGTAAGTTTTTTGTTCGAGCTTTGGTAGTATATTGAAATTCACTGGAGAGAAAAAAAAATGAGTCGGTTGCTGTATACTGAAGTTGTTTTTGCTAATCATTTAACCACAAAGGCGTTTTTCTTGTAACGAAACACTTCCACATCAAGCACAACTGATCTTTCGCCTAGCATTCTAGTAAATGATAAACTTCTGATTTTTTCAACTTAATGAAAAGGCAGAACGCTATTCCACTCAAATGTCCCAATAAGCTGCTGTCACAGTTCCAGGGCAACATGTAACAGTATCTGGAACCCTGTTGATAAAATTCGTGTATAAGTCCGGCCGCATCGTGCAAAATAGAGTGCAATCGTAAAATTTTGGAATTTTACAAGTATTTGTCCAAGGAAGAGTTATCAAAACCAATCAAGCCACCATAAGGTCTCAACTTAATTAAAATGTCGTAGTTAAGGTTATCAGAACTAACAAAAAACAGAGATCATGTAGCTAGAAAAAAGTTGCGTCGGTTAGAATTATCAGCATAAGTTTGTTCCAAAGACGTATAATTTTTGTGAATTATTTTCAAATCAATAGGAGTTACTCTGCTTTTTTGCAATTTCATTGTTTATTTTTTCCAACACCTCTCCAAACTGCTGAACTTCAAGCCAGTGGAAATAAAAGTGACCTTGCAGATACCATTTAGACTCATTAAGATAACGGTGATAAATAGTTAAATAAACCACCAGAAGTTTTTTGTATTTTGATAGCTTGTTGAAACATAGACGGATTTTTCTCAAGTCTTTATCAACCCAAGTCTTTATCAACCCATATTGAGTTAAAGTCAAACGAATAGTAAATATGTTTTCATAATCAGCAAAAATCAAATCGCTCACAGTACCATACTTTTTTTTGTAGAAATGCACCAAGAGATTTGTTGAAGCTCACTCAAATAAAATTGTTCTTTGAATATTAACTTGTATTCTTTCTTTGAAATTTCCTTTGCCCTTTCGAGGAAGATGACGTAGCGTTCATTACAAAATTTGAAAAATGAGTTTTTTTTCTGCGGTTGAAAACACTCTTAATTGTAAATGTTCATTATCAAAATCTTCAGTACACCAAGTTCCCTCTAATTTCGTTTTTCTTATTTCAAAATTTGACAAATTTATCATTTGGTATATTTTGCCCAGAAACCGCCGCCGCCTTTGGAGAGTAATTTCAATTTACAGCCTTTTCACCATAAAATATAGGTCAAGTTAAGGAATTAGTTTACTGCTGCCAGTAACAGTTAAGCTACGCTGCCAAAATCGCCGGCGAATTTTTATTATATACCATAAAAGTCAATTCCCGTTCAATAACAAATTTCAACTAGGTCGAAAGTTCACTTGCCCGAAACTTATATAAAAATTAATATGATTCATATAATTAACCAGGACCAATAATTAGGACCCCAAAAATTGGAATTAGAAAGAATTTTGTATCGTGTCCCTTGTTGTTAAGCTAAACTTAGCAAGATCCTAAGTAGGGGGTCTTCTGCTTTTTGGATGGAACATTTCTTTCGTTTACAAAATCCTAGGATGAGGGTCCTCCAAAAAATTAAGGACCTCTTTCCTAGGACTTCGCTTTACGTGAGGACCCCCCCCCCCCTTAGGAAGGAAACCCCCCCCCCCTTTAGGATCCGGAACACGATACAATACTACTGCAAATGGTTTCTTGGATATTGCGAGTTTCTATTTGTATCTTTTGAATGTTTTTCACTTTTTATGTTGATATATTGCGATTTGAAAAACACTTTGTGATCAATCGTCTAAATGAAACTCATCGCATATTTTTGGAAAGTTATTTTTGAGTTGGTTTTAAATGTTTGTAATTTAATGTCACAAACAAACTAATACACAGTGTTTGATAATTCAAAACTTGGTATCATTTGACAACATGGTGACGATTCTGGTGAATGTTTCCTGTGATATCTCTAAAATTTGAATAATATAGTTTGCCTTTGAAACTAGTTTGCCTTCTCTATATTTACAATAGTAGGCTAAAATTCACTGCCATTTTTTGAAAGTGTTAACTTTGCTACCAATTCATTAATAAAAATGCCTTATCCGGATATAATTCAAGAATAAATTTGATGGAAAAGAATTAACAAAGTCATTTGCGCTTTTAGGTTAATGCAAACACCTCAGTTTTTATCTAAACTTGTCGTGTTTTTGTTGAAGAAACGCAACCAGTATCGAATTTAATTTTAATCAAATCAACACTAATCATCTCCTTTTTACCATTATCACTTCCATATCAGAAAGTTTTAAGGATTTTGACCAAAATATGTGATGAAGAGACTTCTGACTGAAAACTCGGTTACTATGATAACTTTGACCTTCTGATTACCCTCTTTTTTATGAGTCATACTACATGTAATGAAGTGAAATAGAAGAAAAAAAACACCATTTTCATATCATACTTTAGGTACGTCGTAAAACCAAAAGCCACTGAGATAGCAGATGAAGTAAATTGACCGTGGTGATTCATATTACATATGATGAGCCAACTTCTGAGAAGCATTTTTTTTCAAACATAATCTTCGGTGGTAAGCAACTTCCATGTTCATGTATATAGTCGAAAAATCATTGTTTAGTGAGTTGTTTTAATCCTGATCCAACCCACGCGCAAGCCTCATCTCCCGGTTAACGGTGTCTGAACTACTACTACTGGTGATCTAAGGAAAGTATTTACAAAATGAATCAAAAGTTAAAAATCTAACTTACCTTCAATTGGATCTCTAAGTTGAAGAAGGGCAACTGCATCATCCAAATTATCAAATGTGAGAATACTAGAATATAAACATGAGTTTGGACTAGTTTGCCTGCTCAGGATTAGTCTAATACCGATCCTAATCTTACTCATATATCTCCTAGTCTCCTAGATCTAGTTTATACTGGTATTCTTGCGAGGTTAGAGGAGAGGAAGAGCAACTGCTTTCTAAGGTAAATTTATTCTTTTCTGGCTGAAACTACAAGTAGTTTCAGCTTTAAAACTTATTCTAAGTGTTAGTCATGGATCAAGATTGGTTAGTTCTAAGTATTTTACAGTGATGGTTATCCAAGAAAATAACTGATAGATAAAATATTTGTTTTGAACTGGTTCCATTTGTCCCAAAAAATTTTATGCGCTATCATGTAACGAAAAAAAATCCTGTTTAGGCAATAAAATTCTGCACTTGCAATATTTTCTATTATATAAAATGCGCCAAAATGCTAGTTTCAATTCTCTTTTGAAGGTTTTTTTAACGTAACAACAAGGCATGAAAAAATGGAATCAAACTGGCGCCAAAAAGGCATGCAGAGAAAATTTAGGTTTGCTCAGCTAAAAATGGGAGTCTTAAACTAGTATCCAAGGAGCGAAATTTGGGTGGCGAGTAGGTCGCTTTCTTGGGGGAGAAAAGCGTCCCCAATAAACTCGCTGTTGACAACAAGATGTTAAATAATGTGCATAGATATTCCAACTATTGCTTTAGTGGGATCTTTTGGGTTAGGAATTAGTTCTAGGCTATATTTACTGCTGATTAAAATTGATTTATTTCGTTTTCTTGTGGTTTAGCCAATGATGAAAGCGAACAAAACGAAAAATTTCATCTTTCGACTTTAAGCAGTGGTAGAATTGAAAATTACAGGGATTAATTTGATAAATATTTGGACAATTTTTTTTCGAAATGTTTCGTTTTCACAAAAAAGACTAACTATTTGGACAAATAATTTTCTTAATTGGACAGATACTTAATTGGATAGATAGTTTTTGAAATAATTCGTTCTAAAAAGACAAAAAGACAAAGAAGGAACGAACAATACGACTGGATGCGCTTAAGATTCTCTGCGAATCGGAGACAATACTACAATTATTAATTATTATCAATATGACAAACATTTTCGGTTTATGGAGGTCAACTAGGGCACAACTGAGGCTTAAAATTAAAGAGATTTAATGGTATTATTCTACTGGTGATCTATATAAGGAAAGTATTTATCAAAGAATCAAAAGTTAAAAATCTAACTTACCTTCAATTTGATCTCTAAGTTGATGAAGGGCAACTGCATCATCCAAATTATCAAATGTGAGAATTAAAGAGATTTAAATTAAAGTTCCCCAAACCTGTGCGAAAAGACAATTCTTTTTAACATGAATGCTCTAAATACTGTATTGCGTCTGGAGAAATTATTGATCTCCACAAACACTTCGAACTCTGAAATAGTACAAACAAAATTGCTCTTATAATATGGCAAACTCCAGAATGTTGTAACTATAATTTTACATAGTGAAGTAATTGTTAAAAACCAAATTGATTTTTTGTCAAAACCCCCCTCAATCCTCCAAGAATTACAAGGGTTTCAAGTCGCTTACTTTTCACGCGTTAAAAGAAAGTTGGTATATCTTGCACATCAATTACACCAAGCTGGCCAAATCGGCAACTTTTCAAGCACCTTTAACTTTACAAAAACTTAATTTTCCAAAAAAACGCCGTTTTTAGCCTTTCTTGGGAACAGGTCTGTTTCTTTCCAGGTCTGCTCTTTCTTTACAGACCTGTTTCTGCACTGCAAATTCAAGGTAGAGTTCACCAGCGGATTGAGTGGGGGGTTCGGAGGTTCGGTGATCCGGATGCTCTTCTCCCTCAGGAATTCGACCCCCTGCCGACCCAAAGGGTCCACCCTTTGTACTACTTTGAGATAAACATTTTTGGTGGCTGACCCTAAAACTTTTCTGAAAGCGTCTTCGAAGCCAAAGTTTTACTTAATTTGAGGGGGGAGCGCGCGCCAAAAAAACGCAATTTTTTTGGCTAAATTTTTCGAAAAATGCCTTAGTCCGCCAATTTCTTCTTCAGAGGTGGAAAAACAAAATTCTTTATAGAAGAACTAAATACAACATCCAATATAAGCCGAGCAAAATTTTGCCAAAAGCTTTTCTTGGCGAACCAGTTCTCGCAAAACTTTTAGTTGTATCAGAAACGTTTGAATGGACAACTAATATTAGCCAATCAAAACTGAAATTAAAGAAACAGTAAAAAATTGCAAATGCACTAAAAAAACGACGTTATAATAGTAATATATTTTTATAAATAAGTGACGGAACACTTGTGCTTTTGTGCTCGAGGTGATGCTTTTCTCAAGACAAACTTCGACTTTTAAACTAGTTTTTTTTGTCATGGATGAATCATAAAATTGACATCCATGTTTCAGTCATGATTCATCAATTAAACATCAAACTCAATTTCATCCATGATTCATGGATGAGTCATAGAACTGACTTTCATGTTTCAGTCATGATTCATCAATGAAACAAAGAAACGTCAATGTAATTTGCTTACCTGTTTCATATATGAAACATAGATGAACATCGTTCAATTGGCACTGCAACATGAATGATACATAAATGCAAAAAAAGAAAGTTCAAAGATACATTTCTGAATTGCAATGCAATTTCAACCCTGGGAGCTTAAAGATCGCCAGTTTGGCAATTTGGCCTGTTCGAAACAATTAACACACGATATCTTTTACCGTTAAAGCGTAAGCGGAGAGTTAATCTGTCTTAAAAATCGTTCCAAGTTGTTTGAAGCATGCTATTTTTCACATAAAGCAAGCTACGTTACAAGATGTAAAATTTTTTCCTCTGTATTTAATATTGCGTGCTGGAAAAGTATTTGGAAATTCTCAATTTTTTTCAATTTTTATTTTTAAAGCGAACACAACACCATAGACCTTAACAAGCAGTCTAATGTTTTGACAGGTTTCGAAAAAAAATGACGGAAAGTTTTTGCTTGGGGTAGTTTTTCTCCAGACAAACTTCAACCTTCTAACTTTTTAACTGGCACATTTGCAATAATTTTTTAAAAATTAGAAAACTTCAGTTGTCTTGATCTCAAATATGAAAAGATATTTTACCTGTGAACATTCCTCATTATATTTAATGTATAGTTCGGCCAAATTGTATAGTTCGGTTCAAATATAGTTCGGCCAAATTGGGACAATTAACGCGCAATATGATCCGTGCTCTTAAAGCGGAGACGGCGGAGATTCAAACAGTCTCCGAAATCGTTAGAACTTGGAATCATGCTCTTTGGTCAATTTAATACTTTGCAACGTTATATGGGGGGGGGGGTAATTTTCAAAAAAAGCTCAATTTGTTTTCCAAAGTTTATTCATTTTTTCTAAAACTTCATCAATTATTTTGATTTAAAATACTCCAAAGAAGTTAAATAAAATTAACATTAAAGTGAATGCTCCAATTGCCTTTTCATGCCAATTTAAATATTTTTGAATATAAAAATGATACAATAATCGTTAGAAAATTTTTTCACGTTTTCCCCTACATCCTACTACGAACTACAAAGGGATATATTAGGCGCATGTCCAAATAACAAGAACAAATGGTTTACCTCAGTTCAATTTGAAACGAAATATTCTGCCACTTAAGCGTGTTTTATTGCGCGATAATAATCCCAAAATTGTCAAATTAGCAACTTTCAAACCCCCATAGCTTCACGAAAAAAAGATCACAATTAAAAATTGCTTTCAAGTTTCCGAGCTTTGGATAACGATATCTGAAAGATGATAAAAAAGTCGGAACAAAAAAATACCTGAAAAAAAAGAAAAAATTTGATTTAATTTGTAAAGGTACTGTTTTGAGTGTGCACATACTGTCGCTTAGCAGTACGCAAGTGGCAGTTGTGATAACCCACCAATCGTCTAATACTGAAGCTCCACAGAAATCTCCATTCCGGAAGTTACGAACTTTGGCAAAGAAATGTCTGTTGAATGCTGGGAAGCCGTTAACAATATTGGATATTGTAGATTTCGTAATGATTTCTTTGTTTTTTGAAATCTTTGGTTCAACTCGAAAACAATTGCAGGAACAAAAAAACAAACAGGAGAGAAAAATAGGAAAATTCATTTCATTTGAAAGAAAAATGTATGACCAAAGGTAAAGGCAAGATAAAGTATTTTATCCCAAATAAGCAGTGATTTGAAAATGTCAATCAGATTTTGACTGCAATTTGTTTGAGTTTCAATCAAATGTTTGCGAAAACTGCTATCGTGAATGTGATCAGTGATTGAACTGCTAAATTGAATGGTGATCAGTGATTGAACTGCTAAAGGTGATCAGTGATTGAACTTTAGGACAGTATGTTCAATGTTCACGAAAGTAAGACAAGTACCAACGATACAAAGTTAGAGGGGAACAAAAAATTTTCCACTACATTAATTTTGGAACCTGATCTAAACTACATTTTATTATTGGATAAATTAGATATTTTACCACTGTAAAATATTTAATATTAACCAATCATAATCCATCCAACTAACAACCCACTTATTTGTAAGTGCTGAGATTACTTGTAGTTTCAGTACCAGAGAGATTTGAATTTAACTTAGAAATTAGTTGCCTCTCCAAGAGAACTTCAGCCGCCGCAATAAGCCAGTATACTCTAGATCTATTGAGCCTAGCAGAGACTAGTTAAACACCCTGAGATATAAGAGTAAGATTAGGATCGGAATCAGACTAAGAAATTGCACGAATCTATCCGGCCGAAAATAAGATAGCGTGACGAGCAGACGGTGTACCCTATCCGAAATTACTCTATGAGTTAACCAAAAGGATCTAACTCATCTGGTGCGACCATAAGTCTCGAATAAGACCTTAATAGCTTAGAATTAACCAAATAAAGATTAGAAATTAGACAAAACATTTTCAAAATGTTACACGATAATAACTTAATTGAAATGTCTCTACGACTCAATAGATCAGAGCCGATATTCCGCACAATACTAGAACTACCCGGTATTGGAAGAAGACCTCGAACGAGAGACGACATACGACTACATAGAAACTTTCAATTTAGTTTCATGGTTGTACGGCAAAAGCCAACACAAACGTTTATATTTAGAATCTTATTAGCAATGAATTTAGATTTTCATTTGCAAACATAAATTTTTGAAGAAAATCTTCATGATTATCACAGGCGCTAAACAAAATTACTAATGTACAATAACGATTGATAAAAAGATCTCAGATCGTTTTCTCAACTTCTGCAGTATTATATAAAACATAATTATTTGAAAAAAATTTATTAAAAACAAAAATAAAAAGTAGTAGCATGACAATAAATTGTTGGTAAAAATAAATTATCCTGTTGTAACAGCTTCATCACCTAAACATAACAGCAATCATAAGCTAACTAACATCATAAAAACTAAAACTTTATATCAAACAAATTCAAAACATTTTAGACTTATATTTACTTAATTTTAAACCAGATCATCAAGGCTTATCCTTGGATCTTAATAAATTTTCTATCTCATTAATTTTTAATTCTGATCATCAAGGCTTATCCTCGGATCAAAAAGAACACTTTTGTTCTCCCCCACCCACGTATTAAGTGTCTAACGACCTCAAACGTTGATTCACTACCCAAATTTTTCAAAAGACCCAGGACTAATGGAAATTTTTAATAACACTAACCATTCAAATTAGGCTAAACAGTGAAGAAATTCGGTTATTCATCCTTCACTTGAACCCTCCTATTACCAGACCCAGGATAGATCTTAGACTTAGTAAGTTTAAAATAGTATCTAACGAACTACTTGCGTTCTAATTATAACTGAACCTTGTGGATCGATTTACTATTCTCCAACCCTTGAACACAATCACTACCCCTAAGTAAGATTAAGTAAGTTAACACCTTAACTTAGACTAGCCACGAGAAAGTAAAAAATCATTCTCCGGAATCGATATACTTTTCTCTCCAACCCTGAACAAAAAGACCCAGGTTAAGCTAAGCAAAAAATCGTAAGGCCTAACAGTCTAGGAAAATAAAAATCACTAATAACTTCTAGCATCCCTCATCCTAAAACTTATGTCATTCAAAAATTTAGGAAATAAACAAACAATCGTTTTACACAATTGTGAAATAGAAAACCAAAAATATGATCTTGTAATAACTCCACATACACAAACAGTTGGATACATTCGAACAAAACGACAAACAAAAAAAAGAAAAATTATTAGCAAACAAAGACAAATCACACGAAAAAGATTTTCAGAAAATAGAAACGCATTTTCCGAATCAGAAACCAACAGTTTAGACGAACTATACAAATTAAAGGAATCAATAAATAAAAATTGCACCATCCATGATCAATTGTACTTTTCCGACTCAGAAACAACTTCAAACTCATCAAAAAGAAGAAAAAGAAGAATAAAAAAGCAATATAAACTCAAACCAGTACACCTATATAATTGGAATCAACAATTAGACATAATGATAGTTATATATTAACAGTTATCAAACGAAAAACTGAGCCACACTCAACGTGACGAAAGTCCAGATGAAGAAGCAGTTTTTCCCTTTCTTATAGATTCACTCCATGATAGAGGACAAACAAAATTTTGTAAAAACTTACTCGTAAGATTATTTGAACCAGGAATCAGTCCATGCAAAGCAGAATTCCCGGATGTAAAAATCAAAAGACAAATTGTAGAACATTATCTAAAAGACACATGTAACCTAACACAACAATATGGAATCTACACCATAGAATTCAGCACACCACAAACAGCTCATAACAAATATGTAATTCAAACAGATTGTATAGATTTAGAATTTTTGAAAGTATTCATAGAATACATCAAAAGCATGCAATATCATAATTCACAAAGAGCAAACTCAATATTCACTAATGAAGTTTTTGCAATAATATATAGTTATATATCTATATTAGAAAAAACGGAAGTTCAAAGCACATCACCAATAGAAACATCCAAACATACAAAAGTAGGAAACGAAATCACAATATTTTCAACATTTTTACATGTAATAGGCAAAAATTTCACCAATAATGATGTCTCCCAAAACACCAAACATGATTTACAAAAAATTTTAGCATGGTTTATAATAGATTGTTTTACCCACAACCTAGATTTAATTTCACAAGCAAGAAAAAATTTCAGACCCCAAAGTACCAATGACGACACTGTCATTGCAGAACAATCAGATTACGTTTGGGACCCTGAATGGTCTCATCCTGCATTTATAAACATTCCACAAGATATCTCGAGTCAAGCAATAAGTACAATATCTTTTCACAGAGATTATGTAAAAGTAATACCATTAGCGATTGACGCAACACCATTAAATTATAATACATTTTTACCTGATACTCGAAATAACAGCTTAAAATCAACAGTCATACATAATGAATATCTCAATGGAGCCAGAAATCTTACACAGCAAGATATTCAAACACCATCACACTTCATAAATGAAGAAGTAGTCCAAACAACAGTAACAACTACACAACAAAGTTTTTCACCAATACGTCGAAATCTCACAACACCAAAAAATACAAATACATTACTACCACAGATAACCTTACAGTCAACCGTTAAACCTTCGGTTGTCCCAAAATACTCACATATGGACTATCAGACATATAGACCAATGACAAAACTGTCAAAAACACGAAAAAAGTTCACAAAAAAACACTTTTGCAGAACACAATTATAATTATACACACCAACAAAAAACAAATCAAACAAAATTTATATCACGTTTGTTCCCATTATTGGAATCTCCCAAATACATCAACCAATTCAGTAAATTTCCCAGATAATCCACACCCTCCACAGGATTATAGGGAAAATTATCCATTTTTTCAACAAAATAAGAATAAACAACAAACACCTTATAACACAAATAACTTATCATCTGATCATGATGATTATTATCAACCAGATGTTTTTGCACCATATACTAAAGAATATCGCACACAAAGACCGCGACAATCTCAACCATCCCAAAATATGAAAATTTTCCCAAAAAATCCAACAGATACAAAAAATCCACAACAAATGCATATACAAAACCCATTTAACACACAATCTTTTCATCCAATACAGCCACAAAACCCAATGACTATGCATTCTTATCAACCAACTCAAATGCAAAATGAAATACTGCTTCCATATTACCTCCAGCAACATGAAATAACAAAAAATCAACTTTCAAATTTTTCACAAATGCCAAACGCCGCAGAATCACTACAGATGACTATGAGTCCATACCTCATGGGTGGATCATCAATAACATCGAATAAACCACTGATGGTATTCACAGGAACAGACCCTGAATATTCTGTAGAAGATTATTTAAATGCAGTCACAGCAAGTTTAATTTTAAATATAGGACCTGAACCAATTAATACACCACTCCATCAAAATTGGATACATAGACGCACAGCGTAAATACAAACAACACTAGATGGCGCAGCAACAGAAATTTTAATGATGACCTTAACACCTCAATTAAGGAAAATAGCTATAAAAAAGAGAGCATCTCAACCTTCCTCAATTCGAAAACCAGATTTAGATTTTAGAAAATTAGTAGATAAATTAGAACAAGCAGAAATAACAATGAAACTCGAAGAAACAGAAAATCTAAAACTACAATACGTTAATCGAATTGAAACAAATACTACACATATAAACAATATACAAGAATCAGACACAGACCTGATTGAAAAAATCACTGAAATACTAAACATCTATGAGAAGAACCCAAATTTTAAAGGCAAACCATTTTTCAAAAAATGGTGTAATTATTGCCGACGATACGGACACAGTATCGCCGAATGTAGACAAAAACAACAAGATAATCAGAATAAACCTCAAAAGCACAAAGAACCAAGTAAATCATTCTATCAATACATGAAAAAAGATCAAAATCTACCAAACAAAAATATATATAGTAATGATAGATCAGGAAAACCACTTCCAAGTAACTCAAATTACTCAGTAAACCAATCACCATATAACTCAAGTTATAGAGGTAGATCACCCGAACAAAGAAATTCACGAAATTTCTCACAAAATAGACATAGCCGATCGAATAGCCAACTTAACCAAAATAACTATTCACGATCGAATTCAAACACAACAGAATTTGTTTCTGCATCCAGTTCTCAATCAAACCCAAGGAATAGACACTATTCCAATGATAGATCACGAAACTCATCATACAATAGA